AGGAAAATCCAGGCCGTGGTAGGCTGATTCTATGATGTCCCCCAATAACCACCCCTGGTTATTCACCTTCCCTCAGGTTTAGTCAACACTAAAGCACATGCTGCTATGAAGAGATTTGCAGATATAATTAAAGTCACAAATCAGTTGACTTTAAGATGGTGATTATCCTGGAAGGAAATGTCCTAATCAGATGAATTCTTAAAAGACTGGGTTCTTCCTTAGCACCAGATTCACAGAGAGAAAGGGACTCTGTGAGACTTTGGACTTTGAAAGTGGAGAGTTCCTGTGGCAAAGAATGTTGGGGGCAGCCATAACCCCTGTCAGTTCTGACAGGTAATCAAACAGGGATGGACCACAGTCCTGCAACTTCCAGAAAGAAACCAAATTCTGCCCATAGTCTCCATGTAAGCATAGGGAAGGACCCCAACCTCAAGATGAGGGCATGGCTTTGTGAAACCCTGAACTGAGAACCATGCCTGGATTTCTGACTAAGGAGCACTAAACAAATAAATGACCCTTGTTTAAAGACAATAAATTTGGGGGAATTTAGTATATAGAAATAGAAAATTAATATGCAAGCTCAATGGATAGGCATATTACATTTTTTTTAACTGGAATGAATTTATAAACTGATATGCAATTGCTTGCAAGAAAGAAAGTATCTTCTAACTCTTTTAGTATGTTTAAGTCTATGATTTACAGTTGATTCAATTTTACTGTAACCATATTCCTTCATCCAACAATAATTAATTTAGTCCTATTATGTACCAGGTATGCCTTTCCATGCTGGGGATACAATTTTGACCCAACCAGCCCAAAGCCCCTGTGCTCATGTGCTTTATTTTCCAGAGGCTTTACAAGAATGAGATGAACCTATTGGAGCATTTTAACTGAAAAAATGACAGAATCTAACTCTCAGCACCAGTCTGTTGACCACTGTGGGGGAGAACAGTTCTGGGCAGTAGGTGAGGGGACAAGGCTAGCACCACATTGCAGGAGTGAGAGGTGATGAGACTAAGGGGAGAAAGGGTCTGAGGGGTGAGAGGGACAGAGGGAAGGGCTGGAGAAGCAGGAGGTGAGGAACAGGAGCAGAGGGAAAGAGTTGTTAAGGGTCTCACACTGAGTCCCTTTCTTCCTGTCAATCTGGTGCTCAGGAAGAACCCAGTCTTTTAAGAATTCATCTGATTAGGACATTTCCTTCCAGGATAATCACCATCTTAAAGTCAATTGATTTGTGACTTTAATTATATCTGCAAATCTCTTCATAGCAGCATGTGCTTTAGTGTTGACTGAACCTGATGGAAGGTGAATAACCAGGGGGGTGGTTATTGGGGGACATCATAGAATCAGCTGAATTCTCAGATTTACATACAGTGTTTTATAGATTTTTTAATACAGAGCCCAGCAGGGTGCTCTTTGCATTTGGTAATTAACATATTTGTGGGGATGCCTAAGAGCTGATTGCCTCCTAATGTGATCAGGACATCAAAATGTCCCTCCAAAATATGCACACGGCTCAGATGTGAATAATTCATAAAAACAGGCAGTGCCTGAGCACTAGAGAAGGGGATTTTGACTGAGCACGTGCAGCTTTGAAATGATTAAAGTCCTACAACTCCTGGCTGAAAAGCACAGTAACAAGTTGTGTTTCTTTGTATGAATGAGATGTCTTGAACTCACAAGTACAGACTAAGGCTATGGAATGAAGATAATTTTAAAATACAACAACGCAGAGTCCAAGATACATAGTCCAGAAAAGTAAAACTTGGTGAGTCTAACTGTAATGAGTTCAGACACATTAATCTATCAAGAGGCCAACATCACTTCTGTTACAGATTAGATTCCTGACCATTCCGGGGTTACCAAGATTGTGCTACCTATTCTAGCTAATAAGCAAGAAGGAAATTGATCTCTATGAGAGTCTCTATCAGGTGTATTCAGACACAACTTCTCCAGGTTTATAGAGAAAATCACCATCTGTACACCTCCAGTCGCAGGGCGAATTCACTCTGGCGTCAGGTACCCTAGGGGTGAGCTTTCTTCTAAAAGAGTCCAAGTCGGAGGAAAGGAGCAGGAAGCTGGCGTCTAGTTCAATGACAGGATTCAGGGTGGAAAAGAAAGGGTAGGGGCTGGACCCAGCCTGGGGATCAGACAGCTCCTGGGTCAGGACTGAGGAGACAGTATGAGGAACAGAGCTTGGTGCAGGAGAAGGGTTAGGGGAAAGTTCCAGCTTCTGGGCGTGGAATCTCAGGGATCTCAGTCCCCCGGGCGGTGTCGAGGGTACGGAGCTCAGCGCTAGGGATTCGCGGTCTCGCTAACTATTAGCTTTTCCTCCCAATCGCTGTCAGGTCTTTCTTCCTGGATACTGTGACGTACCAACAGTTCTCATTTCCATTGGGTCTGGGTTTCTGGAAAACCAATCAGCGTCGCCACAGTTCCCGATTATTAAATCTCTGCAGAGCTATCCTGACTCAACGTCTCCTCAGACTCAGAGGATGCGGGTCACGGCGTCCGGACCCCTCCTCCTGCTGCTGTCGGTGGCCCTAGTCTTGACCCAGACCTGGGCAGGTGTGTGCGGGGTCGGGAGGGAAACGGCCTCAGCCGGGAGGGGGTGTGTGAGATGATCCTCCGGCGGGAACGCAGGACCGGGGAGCCACACCAGGAGGAGGGGCGCGCCGAGTCTCAGCCTCTACCCGCCCCCAGGCTCCCACTCCCTGCGGTATTTCTCCACCGCCGTGTCCCGACCCGGCCGCGGGGCGCCCCGGTACATCGCTGTCGGCTACGTGGACGACACGCAGTTCGTGCGGTTCGACAGCGACACGGAGAATCTGAGGATGGAGCCGCGGGCGCCGTGGGCGGAGCGGGAGGGGCCGGTGTATTGGGAGGAGGAGACGCAGCGCATCAAGGACCTTGCACAGATTGAGCGAGTGTGCCCGGACATCCTGCGCGGCTACTACAACCAGAGCGAGGGCGGTGAGAGACCCCGAGGCCGGGTCACAGGTCACGACCCCCACATACACCCACATACCAGCCGCGTCGTCTGGGTCCTGGAGTCACCCCAAGGCTGCGGGACCCCCTGAGACCTTCGAGCTGGGAAGGACCCGCGGGCACTTTCACCCAGTTTTCAGTTTGGGACAAAATCCCCGCGGGGTGGTCGGGGCTGGGCGCGGCTGACTGCGGGGGCGGGGCCAGGGTCTCACACCTACCAGAGGATGTACGGCTGCGACGTGGGGCCGGACCGGCGCCTCCTCCGCGGGTACTATCAGGACGCCTACGACGGCGCGGACTACAGGGCCCTGAACCAGGACCTGCGCTCCTGGACCGCGGCGGACAAGACGGCTCAGATCACTCAGCTCAAGTGGGAGGCAGAGGGTGCGGCGGAGCGTTATGCGGAACACTGGAGGGTCTACCTGGAGGGCAGGTGCGTGGAGTCGCTCCGCAGACACCTGGAATACGGGAAGGACACGCTGCAGCGCGCGGGTACGAGTGGCGCGGGGCGCGTCCCTCATCTCCTGTAGGTCTCCCTGCTCCCAGTCCACAAGAAGGGGAGGAAAATGGGCCCGACCCTAGAATATCGCCCTCCCTCTGGTCCAGAGCAGGAAGACGCCCCCTGAGTGTCCAAATCCTGTACTAGACAGTGACTCTGAGCCCCTGTCCTCCCTCCGGGACAGTTAAGGAAAGAAGTCTCCCGGGGAAACAGAGGGACAGATAGTCCTTGAAATACCGATCATTGATTTTCCCCGATCATGCGGCAGTTTTTCTCTCAGGTCTTGTCCTCTGCCCCACTCAGTGTGTTTGGAGGTCTGATTCCAGCCCTTCCAGTCACTCAGACTCCACTCAGGTCAGGACCCTGTTCTCCTACTCAGAGACTGGAAGTTTCAAGGAAGAGGACATCATACTAGACCCCTGGGTCTAGGCTGGTGTCTCGGTTTCTCATTCTCTTTCACGTCCCTGTTGTCCTGAATATTCTCAGGATGTCACATGAGCGCTGGTGGAGTGCTGCTTCAGGGATGCAAAGTGCCTGAATTTTATGACTCTTCCCCTCAGATCCCCCAAAGACTCGTGTGACCCACCACCCCACCTCTGACAGTGAGGCCACCCTGAGGTGCTGGGCCCTGGGCTTCTACCCTGCGGAGATCACACTGACCTGGCAGCGGGATGGGGAGGATCAGACTCAGGACACGGAGCTTATAGAGACCAGGCCTTCCGGGGACAACAGAACCTTCCAGAAGTGGGCTGCTGTGGTGGTGCCTTCTGGAGAGGAGCAGAGATACACGTGCCATGTGCAGCATGAGGGGCTGCTGGAGCCCCTCACCCTGAGATGGGGTAAGAAAGGGAGTGGGAATGTCATGTCTCTTCTCAAGAAAAGCAGGGGCCCTTCTAGAGCCTTTCAGCAAGTTCAGGGCTGAGGTCTGGGGTCAGGCCCTTCACCTTCCTGTCCTTTCCCAGAGTCTTCCCAGCCCAGCATCTCCATGGTGGGCATCATTGCTGGCCTGGTTCTCCTTGGAACTGTGCTCACCGGAGCTGTGGTTGCTGCTGTGATGTGGAGGAGGAAGAGCTCAGGTAGGGAAAGGGGGAGTGGCAGGGTCTACATTTTCTTGTCCCACTGAGGTTTCAACCCCAGGTAGCAGGGTGCCTCCTCCCATTACTGGGAAGTTTCATCCACACACACCTGCTTAGCCAGCTCAAGATCCTGGGTGCCAACACTTACTCTTTTGTATAACACATGTGAAAATGAAGGACAGAGTTTTAATGTGATGATTGTGGCGATGGAGACCTGATCCCCACAGTCACTGGTCAGAGAGAAAGGACCTGGCTCAGGACAGACCTCCAGGAGGGCAGTTGATCCACTCTTTCCTTCCCCTGTGATTCCTGAACCTGCCCTGGCTCTTCAGTCACAGTTCTAGAAACTTCTCTGGGATCCAAGACTAGGGGGTTCTGCTAGGACCTCATGGCCCTGCCTGCTCCCAGACCTCTCACAGGGCATTTTCTTCTCATAGGTGGAAAAGGAGGGAGCTACACTCAGGCTGAAAGTAAGTATGGAGGGTGGTGCTCTGTGAGGCCTTTGGGATAGTGTAGGCAGAAGTCCATGGTGGAGCTCCCAGCCACATAATTCCTCCTTTAGCCACATCTTCTGTGGGCTCTGACCAGGATCTGTTTTGTTCAACTCCAGGCAGTGACAGTGCCCAGGGATCCAACGTGTCTCTCACAACTTATAAAGGTGAGACCCTGGGAGTGTAATATAAGGGTGGATTGGGACAGGGGGACACAGGTGGGCTATGGGGATTCATAGGTGGGACATTTTGAATGTGTGGTGGGTTGTTCAGTGTCCCAATTGCTGTGACAAACCTGAATTTGTTCCTTATTTTTTTATAGACTGAGACAGCTGCCTTGTGTGGGACTAAGTGTTCATACCTCCCCTTTGTGACTTCAAGCCTCTGACTTCTCTTTCTGCAAATGCTTCTGAATGACTCTGCATCCCTCTTTGCCTAATGTGAGAAGGCGGGGAGGCCAACATACTGCCATGTCTACTGTGACGCCTTCTCCCACACTGACCTGTGTCCCTTCCCAATTAGCTTTCTTGTTACAGAGTGGTAGGGCTGGGAGGTCTCTATCCCTGTCTCAACTTTGTAGTGCACTGAGATGCTTCCCTAATGCAAATAAGAATTTGAATATAAATTTTTTTCCTCAAATTCTTCCCATGGGAAGACCTGAGAACCTTCCAGAATCTGTTGTGTTTGCTGTGCTGAGTCTTTTGCAGGTGGGGGCAGGAGAAAGCTGGAGGAGCCAAGTGTGGACAGGGCCTGTGCCCAGTTGGTGCTCAGTCTATCATGGGCTTTATGTGGTCACTCCTTGGCAGGGTCATCCTCACTGTTCCACTGTCCATGCCCCTTCAGTAGAACCCTGTCCCAGCAGGACCTGCAATCACAGGAGCTGACACATGGCCCCGGATGGACCCTGAACATGGGAGTCTCTTTGATACCAAGACATAGAATTTTCACACTGTCCAGCTCTTTTCCTCCTTCTAGGGTTCTTTCCTAGATGGCATTTTCTATCTTTTCCCCAGCATTTTTATTTTATTTTAAATTTATTTTTAATTTTTGTGGATACAGAATGGTTGTCTATAATTGTGGGGTACATGTGATATTTTGATACAAGGATACAATGTGTAATGATCAAATCTCAGTAATTAGGATATCCATCACCTCAAACATTTTTCATTTGTTTCTGTAGAGAACATTCTAAATTAATTAAACTAAATCTTCTCATTATTTTGAAACATACAATAGATCATTGTATTTTTTAAAATGTGGTTTTTGTGAGAGAGTCTCACCATGTTGTGTGGACTAGAGTGCAGTGGCATCATCCTAGGTCACTGCAGCCTCAAACTCCTGGGCTCAGATATTCCTCCTGCCTCACCCTCTGAGTAGCTTAGATTACAGATGTTGACACCATGCCCAGCTAATTTTTTAAAAACTAGTTTGTAGTGATAGTCACTACACTATTGCCCAGGATGGTCTTGAACTCATGGCCTAAAGCGATTCTGCCACAGGCAGAAGCCACCACATCCAAGCTATTAACAATTGTCACTTTTTTGTGCTACTGAATACTGAGTCTCATTTCTTGCATCTAACTGTGTTTTTGTATTCATTAACCAATCCCCTTTGTTTCCCCCTCCACACTACCCTTCCCAGCCAGGTTACCTTCCCAGGATGGTATCCTCCATTCTGTTTGCTACCTCTATGAAATCAGTGTTTTTAGCTCTCACGTGACAGAACGCACAACTTTTGTCTTTCTATGCCCAGCTTATTACACTTAATATAAAGTCTTCCAGTTCTATCCACATGGCTGCACTCAATGTTTTTAAAGGAACCCGATTCTGGAATTAACAGAGAGAATGGATCCCATCACTTCCCATCTCATGTAAATTTCCTCTTCTGCTCTGCTCCCCTGCCCCCTACCTGTCCTTAGTTGTTCTAGTAATCTTAGTGCCAACTCCATTCCAAACTCATAGATTTCTAAATCAGGCTCTAAGTTAGTTTATACTTGTTTGCAAAATTGGACCCATAGGCAAGGATTGTTCTTCATGAGGAGAGAAATAGCACTGTGTGCTGCAGAGTGCAGGAGGGTCAGCGTGGAAGGGAGGGTAAGGGAGGGCACACACAGCACTGGGGAGAAAAGCTCAGGCAGCATTGATGTCAGTGTGAGAGGTTTGTCTACCAGATTCAGGATAGACTGTTGGTATACCTAGGAAACATCATTCAAGTAAAATTTTGTGGAGCAGGTGTTCTTGTGGGAAGAGACAGACTATATTCTTTGAGCAGAGCAAATAAGAAAAGTATTTATGTTAGATGATGGTAAGTGCTACCAGGAACATGACCCAGTGGGGGTGTAGGGACAAGAATGGTGCTTATTGTGCTGGGCGATCAGGGTGGGACTTGTTGCAAAGGTGATCTTTGAAGAAAGATTTGAAGGACATGATAAATTATTGATGAGGATGTCTGGGGAAGTTCTTTCAAGATAGGGGGTATCTTCTTCCACAATGGCACTGGAGCAGGAAGGTGTCTGTGTTCTGGGAAGAACTGGAGGCCAGGAGGGCTGGACAGAGAGTCAGGTCTGAGATGAGGCTGGAACATGTAGGAGTGGAGGGTTTGGAAAGGGTGTGACCTTTGCTCTGAATGAGATGGGGAGTTAAGAGGGCAGTTTTGAGCAGAAGAGGGACATGGTAGGACTTCTCTCTTAACAGGGTCTCTGGCTGCTATGCTGAGAACTGAACTGAGTGAGAGGCAGGGGACAAGGGAGCATCAGGGAAACATCAAGGAAGGAGGGCAGGATCCAGACTATAGATGCTGGTGTGAGCAGTGGGAATGGAGATAAATGATGGGTTCTAAATACATTTTCAAGATGGACTTTACAGCATCGTCTAATGCATCTGGGGTGTGAGAAAGAGGAGTACAGGAAGATACCCACAGCTGTAGGCTGTGTGAGTAGAAGGATGGCATTGCCATCATGGAGATGGGGACATCTCTGGTGGGGGTGTGTTTGAGGAAGGGGCATCCAAGACATTCAGTAGAGGAGGTGTCCACTAGGAGTGGAAGAAAGGAGCTGGGGAGGCAGCTGGACAGATGTCTGAAGTTTAGGAGAACTATCTGGGCTGGAAAATAAATTTGGAGGGTGACACCACATAATTAATATTTAAAGCCTTGAGTGTGAATGAGGGCACACAAGAGTGATGGGCTGTAGAAGAGAATGTGGACAAGGATGAACCTTGGGCCTCCAGGATTGAGGATGAGATCCAACCACATGCCTAGAGCAGACTATAGTTCTAACACCACATCCAGAAGGCACGTAGACCACAGAGTCCCAGGCTTTACTGTGTAGGAATTACCAGAACTTGAAGCTGACACACAAACAGGAGTTGACCATGAGACTCTGGGTTCATGGCAAGGGTGGTGCTGATACTGCTGGTCTTCAAATCACAATTTAGTAGCAAGATTGTAGACCAGGATCCCTAGATCCTGGGGATCAGCCTCACGCACAGGGCTTGTCAAATAAGTGAGTGCTTGGTCTTGTGCATAATACTCTGAGAGTGGTTCTGGGGAGAGGCCTGCGTATTTTCTAAGCACCACCAACAATCCTAGTGCTCAGCCAGACTGGGAAGCCCTGAAACCAGTGATCAGAGAGTTCCCAGAGTTTTCCCTTATTAAACATCCTTTTATCCTTCAGAAAGAAAAAGGAGAACCTATATCATTAATTGTGAGATGTGATGTTGAGAGATTTGCGTCATTCTCTCTACTGTCAGGTAGGGCCAGAGAGGATCCTAGAAGTGACTCTCAGCTCTGCACAAAGAACATCTCTGAATGCTGTGCTCAGACACTGTTCCCCAGTCTGATTTCTCACTCACTTCTTGGAGCAAACAATGGAAGCCAAATATTTCTAGTGTACATGTAAAGTTGTTTATATGAGGTTTGAAAATTAGGTTCACAAACTTGAGAGAAGGTATAAGATGGCAGATTAGAGATATCTCCCCTAAGCTTCTGTCAGTAAATTAGTGGAGAAAAGTCTCCCTCTGGATTCTCCAGCCCAGAAACAATATCATGATGGCACAGTGAGACAGCCTAGGACACCAGGAGCAAAAAAAGATAAACAGGGTGGGAGGCCTGAAAAGGGTGCAAAGGAGGGCTTAGATAACTAGTTAGGCACATGTAAAAGATTGAAAGTAGAGCCACACCTTTCACTGCTTACAACAATTTACTCATGCTGGACAAAAGATTTAAATCTAAGGCACGAAGGGCAGGGAATGGTGGTTCATGCCTATAATCCTAGCACTTTGGGAGATGGATTGACTGAGCTTTGGAGTTCAAGACCAGCCTGAGCAAGAGGGAGACCCTGTTTCTAAAAATAGACAGATATTGTGGTAGGTGTCTGTAGTCCCAGTTACTCAGAAAGCTGAGGCAAGAGGATCACTTAAGCTCAAGACTTTTATGTTGCTGTGATCTATGATGCCACAGAACTCTACCAAGAGTGACAAAGTGAGGCTCTGTCTAAAAACAAACAAACAAACAACAACAACAACAACAAAAGACATGTTCAGTATAGGTTGAGATAGTAAAAGTATAGTTTTATTTTCCAATTTTGCACCAAGTTCATTAAAATATGTTTATTCCAATTCTACTCTGACTCTAAAATGTGAACTCATCTGCCTCTATGGTTCTGAATGTCATAGTTATTCCTTTACTGTAAGATGGAGAATCTTATTTTATCATTGCTCAGTACATTCTGAATTTTGATTACTTAATCTCTTTGGAAACTATACCTTCCTATAACTAGGACATGGCCCCCCGCCAATTTAATTCTTTATTTCTCATTGTGGGAAGAGGTTTGAAGAGAATTCTTTTTTCTTTCTTTTTTTTTTTTTTTTGAGACAGAGTCTCACTTTGTCACCCTCGGTAGAGTGCTATGGCATCACAGCTCACAGCAACCTCAAATGCTTGGGCTTAAGCGATTCTCTTCCCTCAGCCTCCCAAGTAGCGGGGGCTATGGCACCCACCACTACGCCCAGCTACATTTTTTGTTGCAGTTGTTATTGATGTTCACCTGGCCTGGGCCAGGTTTGAACCCTCAAGCCTCAGTGTATAGGGCTGGCGCTGTAACCACTGTGCTATAGGCACCGAGCCTGAAGAGAATTCTTATTTGGATCTATTTTCAAAATTATTATTTGCCTGCATCCTTTGGGAGTGCAGTAATTTTAAAAAATCATACACAGATGCAAAATTTATTAGATACATCTAGACAGACATTCTTGAGTAGAACCCTATGTATCCCTGTCTTAACATATCCAGATCTATATCTAATACTCCGAACTCAAGATCCAGCCAGGTGGGTCCACAATGGATATATTTAAAAGTGGGTCAGAAGAAGTTATAAAAATATAATGTAGGTCAGAACCCACTATTGGGCATCTTTTCAAAAGAAAACAAGTTGTTTTCTCAAAAAGACACTTGCCCTCAAATGTTTA